AGTGAATCTTGCAGAGGAGCGTGTCGCCATGGTACGCGAACGAGTTGAGCGTGAGCTGCGACGCGCACTCGGTGCACTTGAAGCACGCCTTGTGGTAGAGGTGTTCGGTTTTGGCGCGGACCTGCAGGTCGTTGTAGTACACGGGCTTGGTGCACGCCGCGCAGTTGGGCGTCGTCAGAATCGAGTGCACCATGGTACTGCTAGCTGTACAAACGAAGTGTGCGATTTGGTTGTGGCGACCGTAGCCTGGTCGGCGAACGCATCCGGATATCTGTAGCAATCGTACGGATATAGACACGCGTGCCAGCAGATGAAAACTCAGATCCAAAAAAAGCAGCGCGCAAATATTCGCGGCTGTCGCCGTCAGCCGCCTTGTGGACAGGATCCGAGTCCGCCTCCTCCTGTGCGTGGCGGTCTATAGTACTCGGAGACAGAGTCGAAGGATTTCGCTCCCGGTAGAGAATCCTCCCGGCTTCGAAATCTGCAGATTCAATTCGACGGTCCGCCCTTCTTTACACCGCGCACTCTCGTCCACACGTGCACTGGAAGATCAACGAAAGAACGCTCGACATGTGTATGTGCCCATGACGTCCGATCCGTCATATGCGCTACAGCCGCGGCGTCTACAGCCGCGGCCTGTTTCCTCGTTCGCGTTACGACAAGGCGCCGGCGAGCGTGGAGGGAGAGAGGTTGCGAGTTGATATTCCACTACTTGATCGCACGACGTGCGCCACTCGGAGGAGACGAAAGGGATACAAGTAGCCGCGATGACGCCGCTGTTTGGTTGCGTCAACACGCGCGTGCGTGTTTTTGAGTTTGAGATTTGGCTCGTGTATCCGGCGTGGGACATGACTTTGCCCTTTGCCACTCGTGATACAAATCGCAAGATCCACCAATGGCTTGTAAAACAGCTGGCAGTTTTGGCGAAAGGCCGCAAGATCGGCGGCATGGGCTGCTCGTGGCCGCTCGTGCTTCTGCTACTCGTGCATTGGTCACGCTCGACACGTAGGATGCCACGCTTGATGTACTGCTGAGAGACTTCTTGGCGCGTCGTAGCGCTCATTACTACCGCCGACCTACACGCGGAGCTCAAGGATGGCGCTGTTACGTCGCGCCGACTCAGTGGGAGCGGCAACGCGAGCCTCTTCCGCGCGATCGCCGGCCACGGCTTTCGCACGCAGAGCAACGCGGCCATCTTGCCGAATCTGAGCCTCGAGGCGTGTGCGACGGCGTGCGTTCGCGACGCCGCCTGTCTCGCGTTCGACCTCGAAGCCAGCACGTGCTACATCGCGCATACGGACCGCTACGCCCACCCCGCCGACTTTCTGCCCCGTCCCGCAAGCACCCACTATGAGTGGCAAGGTGGCGACGCCAAATGAAGAACATCGCTCAGCTGGGCTCGTAGGCGCGGTGGCCACGCCGACAATATGGCCCAACGGTGGCGTCTTGACCTCGTACGGCGCGGTCCAGCTCTTTACCACGTCGCGCAAGGCCAGTATTTGGTATGCGCTACAGGCTATCGCTGACGGAGCAACGACCAACTACGCGGCCTACGCCATCGGGACGACGATCACACTACCCGAGTACCCGTGCTACGTCCTTGCCTATGCAACCAAAGCGGGCCTGGCCGACAGCGCCGTGCTCGTGTCCAACCCGTTTACGATCTACGGCAAGTGTCTTGGATGGAAAAATAAAGATATATGTGGTTGTAGCGACCAAGTACATGTACCTTGTGCCCTTTTACAACGGGTATGGCTTCCACGGCCTCGTCACCCAAGTGCAGCTCGACGTCCAAGGCGTCAAGCGCCCGCGGCCGTCGCGCGTGCTCGAATTTACCGACATCAATACGACACTTGGCATTGGACCGTACGCCAACCAGCTACAGACGATCAACCTCACGGCGTACGATCCGCGGCTCGCGGGGTTCTACGACGGCTTTACCGGTGCGTTCGTCTCGCACGCCTCAACGTCAACCGCGCATTTTGAGATAGCCGTCGCCACCGTCGAGTATGTCAACGTGAGTTTGCAATCGTTCCGCAACACATCGCGCTGGGTTCTGATCCCAACCGACGCGTTCGCGCCGGCGATGGGCGACTACGTGTATAACCCGTCGCTGCGCCGCCAAGAAGAGTACTTGTACCTGTGTCCGTACCAAAATGCGCAGGGCTACTCGGGCGTCATTGCCAAACTCAACGTCCGCGGCTTCCAAGCGTCGACGAAAAACGACCCGCCGTTTTCGCCGCTTGTGCACACGCTCGATTTGACCCAGATCGATGCGTCCCTCACAGGATTTAGCGCCTGCTTTACGAGTTCGTCGATTCTACCTTTTGGTATAGTTGAACATGAAGAGTGTAGGTGGCAACTATGGCTACTTTGTCCAGCGGCGCAACGCCAACGGCCTCGCGGGCTGCATTGTGCGCGTGGACCTCGCGCGCTTTGGCACGCCGTCGTCCGCTGTGACGGTACTCAACGCGACCGCGATCGACGCACGCTTTGTCGGTTTTAGCGGCGCTGTTGTGTGTACGTGAAGTATCAGTGTATCAACTTGATATGAAAACGGTGTAGTCAACCACATCGCGTACCTCGTGCCCTTTGAGCGCAACAAGGTCGGCTTGGAGCGCAACATCAACTACAAGCACTTTCCGAGCGCGACCTCGAGCGTCGTGGGCGTCCTCGACTTGAACACGTTTGCCACCGTGGTGCCCCTCGACCTCGCCGTGCTGCATCCCAAGTACGCGTGCGGCTACTTTGGTGGCTTTATGGGTCTGTCATCCTGACATGGACACCTTGTCACTTGTCTTTTGTGTAGTGAGCCAGTATGCCTACTTTGTGCCGTACATGTGGACGACCGACACGACGTCGCCAGAAGTGAACCCGTACCATGGTCTCTTGACGCGGCTCAACACGAACACGCAAACGCTCGAGCAGCTGGACCTGACGGCGGTCGACGCGTCGCTACGCGGCTTCATGCGCGGCTTTGCCTGTACACATCGTCCATCGTTCTGCTTGTTGATGTGCATGAACTGGGTAGTTGGCCGGTATGCCATTTTGGTGCCGCACCGCAATGGCCTGACGACCCAGCGCCCCATGCGCCTCAACAAGCCGCAGAAGAACAATCTCGGCACGATCGTGGCCGTCGACACCGACAACTTTACACCGTCCGGCGTTCGGTTCCTCGATCTAACGCTGGCGCTGCGCAGTCAGATCCCCAACATGCCAGACGCCGACCTTCGCGGGTTCATTGGTGGCGGCGTCTCGGGCGAGTATGGCTTTTTCGTGCCGTACTTTAACGGCGTCCGCTTCTCCGGTAGGCTTGCTGGCACAACGCTTGGACTACACGCAGTGGGCTGTAGGCAAGGTCGTGCGCGTGAATTTGCGGACATTTGGAGAGGTCCAAGTCCTCGACATGACGCAGCAGCAAGACGCACTGCGGGGGTTCACGAATGCTGTGTTTCCCCAGTTGGCGACGCAGACGCAGACGTCGCTTTGGAACTATGTGATCCCCGATGGCACCCAAGTCCAGTACAACTTTATCACAATCGACATGTAATCTACGACATTGTTTTCCAACACCCAACGTCAAAGCAGATAAAAAGACGACAAAAACGAGCTTGGAGCTCTACTGTCACCGTACAACCACGCCCAACTCGTTTTTTTGTCGTGTGGACGATACATGTCCCATATAACTTTAGTAATGAGACACTATTAGCACGTTTCGACTGGCTTTCTACGACACGAGTCGCAGCCTCGCGCTCGACACCGAATCTGGTTCCAACAACGTAAACAGGAGGGCACTTTGAAAGCGGTCGTTCTTGTTACGACGCCATCGAGTGGCTACGGTGCAGTGGCGAGTGGGGTCGTGTTAATGGCATCGAGAGCGACTTGCGCAAGACGAGCGGCTGGCAGTTTTCGCGGTCGGCCGCCGCCAACGCCTCGGTGAAGCGGTGAATGCCTCGAAAGAAGCTACCCGCGTGCATGCGCAGCGTGTCCGTCGGCAAGTTGAGAAACAGTCGCATCGTTGTCTCGAGTACGTCGATCGTTTGGGCCCACGTCGCATCGCAACGATTGAGCGGCGTCGCAGCGTACTCTAAAAAGAGCGTGAACGTTTGCACGCAGCACGTCGGCGGGCGCGCGTCGAGGGTATTTGCTATGTGCAGCACGTGCGCGTGGAGTCTCTGAAGCTGCGCGTGGAGCTCGCTCGCCGACATGTGGCTGCTCGTGACGAGCTCGAGCGACGGCAAGGTCGCACCAAACGCCAAGAGCGTCGCGTCTTGGGCCCGCAGCACCTAGTAGTACTTGTCCATCAACCGGGCCCTTTTTAGAGACCCCGACGTACACTGGCTAGAAAGTGCAGCGCGGTGCCGGTGCTCTGGCTGGCTTGGCGGACGTGGCCGAGTTTCTCGAGGTCCGTGAGCAAATTGAACGCGACCGCGTTGCCGCGGCTCGTGCCGGCGTTGATGTGGTTGCCAAGGTCGAGGACGTACCCGAGGACGGCGTGGAGCGCGTTCGACTCGGAGAGTTCCTTGCACGCAGTCGCGACGATCGCGCAGTCGCGCTCAAACGACTGCACCGTCGAGTCGAATCGGAGAACCATCGCGAGCAAGTCGAGGAGCCGCTCGACGTCGGGAATCACGAGCAACTCACGGAGAAAGCCCTCGGGGTGCGTCAGTAGCGCGACGTTGCCGTCAAACGACTGGAGCGCTGCCTTCTCCGCCAGTGTCGGCAACGCGAGCACGTGCCGGATGTGCGAAATTTGATCAAACGTCAAGCCGTCGACCTTGCCCGAGAGCAGGGCGTCGGCGACGCTCGGCCGCAACAAGGTCAAGTGGTGTGTGTCCAAGAGCTTTCGAATGTGCTTGGCGCGGCGCGGATGCAAGAGCAATTGGTGCCCCGGCGATGTCGGCGCCCGCACCTCGAACGCGACGTGGACTTCGTCGGCGTCAATGTTGCCTGTCGGCGCCGCCTCCCAGATCGTGCCCCGGATCGCATCGGACGACGCCCATTTCTGCCAATGCAAGCCTTTCGGCGGCTTGACCGGCGCCGGCGACGTCGGTGGACTCGCAAGTCCCAAAGCGTCCGACACGATGGTTGTCGGCGCGTCGAGGAGGGCCGCGTCGACGCCGTCGGCGATCATGCGCTGGCGGACGAGGTCCCGCGGCACACGCACCTCGAGCATGCGAAAGTACTTTGCATAGCGTGGGTGGTGCTGTGCCGGCGCGCTCTTTGAGAGATGCGGTGATAACGGTGCGATTGGCGCCGGGTGGACCTGCTCGACGAGTGCGTCCCACGCCGACGGCTCCGTGACGGACAAGAGCGCGGTGACGACCTTGAGCGCGTGGGTCTCGAGCTTGTGGTCTTTGGCGTGGAGCTGGAACTGCTGGATCGCATCATGGAGGAGGTCGGGCGGCGGCGTGTACCGTCGTAGCAGCTGGAGGCAGCGCGCGGCTTCAAACGCAATCACAGTATCGAGCTCGCGGGTATGTTCGGTGTCATCGCCCTTCATGGCAAGCCAGGCAGGTACGTCTTGGGCGATGAGCCGCTTCGCAAACGTCGCTAGCTGGGGACTCTCGTCGCCTTCGAGAAGCGCATGGAGGAGGCGCAGAACGGCTCCCTGGGCGACGTCAGCGCCATGGTCCAAAAGCTCCAACAGGTCGGCCACCACCCGAGCAGCATGGCAGTGCTCCATTGCGCTAAAGAACGCAACATGACCTGCTTGACGATACACGCATACAATGCGGCAGATCTGGAGGACTTTGATGCTGACGCTTTCGGAGGGCCCACCGAGACACGCCAGCAGCTCTTGGAGTCGCTCGCCATGGGCCTTGGAAGCAAGGTGCTCGAGCACCGATACAAAACTCAGCAGCAAAAGAACGAGGTCCAGCACGGCCACGACCAGTGCAGTGTCGTGCGCGGGTGCCAGAAGGGCGAGGAGCGCTTGGAGCCCCTCCTCTTGTGTGAAGAGTCGCACCCACCGTCTACCCAGCCGAGTACTATGAGCGCCGTGGCGGCAAGATCATGAGAGGCGCACCGCCGCGCGCGCATAATCACAAGGCGAAGCAACCGCACAGGCTCGATCGCGCGTTCGCGTCGGTAGTGGAGGACCCGGAGCTGTTCGATGCACTCGGTCGTTGTCGGCGCCGTCTCGACATGGCCGAGTTTGAACCTACAGTGTCGGATCCCAGCGCATGTTGCCGTAGTATTTCGTACAATTGGGTCTGCTGCCACTTGGAGAGACGAGGTTCGAGGCGTGCGAGCTCTTCGCGCACGAGGCCTGTCGCACCGCGATGTGTGGCGAGCAGCAAGTAGGCGCCGTCAACGTCGTCGTCGTCCGTGGGCGGCGGAAGCGCCTATACGCGGCATGCTCTGACGACGAATATACCATCATCTTTCCGCACCACGTCGAGGTCGGCCCACGGCTGTCGGGGCGCAATGCCGAGCCCGGGACAGGAGAACGAGGCGCCCATTGCGCGGCCTCGATATGCTGCGAAACGGCCCGTAACTGGCACCCAGCAGACCCCACATGTCGCAACGCGATCGACGAGGCTTGGCTGTTGCAAATTTGCACATCGCTTGTCTTCTTCTAACATCGACTTGCTCGCTGCTGACGTCGGTCTCTGTGAAGTTGTCGGCGCCTGGCCATGCGCACAACGTGTTGAGATTACGAGGCAACCTTGTCTTCAACGACGAACGAAATGCCCATGTGCAACACCACATGCGTGGTATTCAGGGACACCTGCATGCTAGGGACGGCGAGATGAGCGCAGAGAAATCAACGCATTCGATTCAGCAATTCGACAATTCGAGGGGCTGTACTTACTAGAAATTGAATGTCGGCGATATCGAACCAAGTGGTTTCGCTGATCGGATCCTTCTGCCAAGCTTTGCACATCACTTGCAGGCGCAAATAGGCCCGCCAACATGGCCGGCAGCCGCCATGTTTGTCTGGCTCAACGAGAGCATGGCAAGACGCATGCTCGATCGAGGTAGGCGTACTAATGATGTGTGCTGCGTGTTGGTTATGACTATGTGAGTGGTTGGCAACGACGCGAGCATTACTCGACGCGGCGACCTGACGAACTCAGATCTGTCGCGTACGTCTTTTTTTAAATGAAAAGTGATAGCATACAAACCCCAAGTGCTTTTCAACCTTGACATTTGGCCATCTCGGAATCGCAGTCTCATCACGAGGGTCCAGTTTCCATTTTGCGCCAGCATGCGAACGTGGTGCTTCCTCGCGCTTCTCGTTGGCGTGACGGCCACCAACAGCACGCGCCACCTCGCGACTGTGGGCCAATGCAGCAGCGCCGAAGACAACGTCGACTACTGGGGCAACGACGTGGCGGGTCAGGCCGTCGGCAGTGCCAGCGCGTGCTGTGACCTCTGCGGCGCCAACAACCAGTGCGCGATTTCCGTCTACACGGGCGGCATGTGCTATCTCAAGAGCGGTCGCGGCGCCCGGTCGACCAAGCAAGGCGCCGTGGCCCTTCCCAAGCCGTCCTCGCCGTACCCGACCGAGGCCAACACGGACTACTGGGGCAATGACTTTGATGCCAAGACGGCGACCAGTGTCGGCGAGTGCGCTACGTACTGCGCCGCCAACTCGCAGTGCGTCGTCTCTGTCCTCACGGGTAGCACGTGCTACCTCAAGAACAAACTCGGCGCCAAGTCGGTCAACAATGGCGCGACGGCCATCCGCGTCGGCGGCAATACGGCGACTTCGTGCACGCAGCAAGCCAACACAGACTACTACGGCAACGACATTGGCAGCACCAAACCGTCGAGCGCGTCCGGCTGCTGCGCTGACTGCGCTGCCAACGCCCAGTGCCTCGTGGCGGTGTACACGGGCGGCACTTGCTGGCTCAAGAACAAGGTCGGCGGTAGCTCGTACAACAACGGCGCAGTCGCCGTCTTCTCGGGTCGCGCGCCTGTGCCGGCTACGGGCGGCTCGAGTGTTCCGTTCCAGAACCTCAAGGCCCAGTACAAGTACCCGATCAAGGGCGGCGGCACCTACAACATGGTGACCAACTACCAGAGCTGCGCGCGCCAGAGCCAGCGCAGCGATAGTTCGATTGGCCCCTTGAGCGAGCAAGTGTCGATGATCTTTCGAGGGCCCATGTACATCTTCGGCATCTCGGTCTTCCAGCCGTCGGGCGGCAACTGGAACCGCGTCTCGTCGTGGACGCCGCAGCAGTCCAACAACTTGGTATTTATGAACAACCTCAACCCGAACAAGTACAACAACCAGCCGCCGCAAGGCTACGCGCAGGCCGACGGCATGGGCTTCTCCGAGACGCCTGTCCAGTTTGGCGGCTGGCTCCGCGACGCGTCCGACCCAAGCAACATATTTGGTGGTCCTGGTATCGCGACCGGCGCCGAAGTCAACATCATGCAACCCTCCAAGTGCTCGGCCACCGGTGGCTGCCTCGGTGTCTTTGACCAAAAGTACGGCCTGAACGGCTGGGGCGGCAGCAAGATCTTTGTTGTCAAGGCCATCATGTACGGCTCGGGTCTGCCCGCGATCTGGATGCTCAACGCCCAAGTGATGCGTGCGAACCAGTATGGTTGCAACTGCCGCGGTATGGCGGACCCTGGTGGCTGCGGCGAGCTCGACATCGCCGAGGCGATTCCGAACGGCGGCAACAACCTCGCGACGCACTACTACTACCTCAACACGCACCCGTCGCCGGGCCACGACACGTGGACGACGCGCCCGACGAGCCGCGCGGCAACGTTTGTGACCATCTTGGACGAAGCCTCGGGCACGATCAAGGTCATGCACTTTACGGACGACGACTACGACAAGTTCTTTGACACGAACGCGCTCTCCAACGATGCAGTAAACGCCATGATCTCGCGCTAAGCGATATAGTAGTAGTAGAGTCCTCGACGAAGATGATGATTTCCAACATAAAGCATTGGTTGGTGTAGCACGGTTGTTGTTGTCGTCGTCATGGATTCTCTCCATGACGCCGTGACGATCCCTATGCTAATACAGTGCTTAAAGGTTCGCCGCTGTGCTTCACCGTGACTGCTGCGGTGAAGCCGAGCGCGTGGGCGGCGGTATGGATTCGATGTCGATGCTTCCAGACCACACACATGGGAGCAAATATATATCAACTGCAGTGAGCTGCAATGTACCGCAGTGTGGTAATGTCGAGGCGGAGATGATCAGTGGCCAGCACACGCGACTGTGCTCACTGGCAGCGTTCGATCGAATCTCTCGCTTGGCGTGGGTGCAGCAACAGCGATGGTGCGGCTGCAATGGTGTGACGGAGAAGCGTCGTCTCGACACCACGCGGGGTCCAAGGTTCTAATAGCTACCGTTGGTGCTCTTGGTTTAGCTACCACATATATATCCGCTCGCGCAGACAGGTTGCACAGACTCACTGGCACAGACTCTTCACGCACAGCTCTTTCACGCACCCATTCAGCCCGACGACGATCCTCTCCATCTGTTTTTCGCGACGCTTCCAAGCTTCCTGGACGCAAGATGATCGAGCGACTCCATGATGCGTCTCACCCAGTGAGATCGTGGTGAGCTGCGATTGTAGCACACTCGAGCAGCGAGGTTGCGGCCTCCACCAATGGGCTCATCGAGTGCGATGACGACGGCGAGCATGGTCGTGTCGTACACGGTATCCGAGTCTGGCGCCACTGCGATGGGACAAGCGGCCGAGATTTTGCGCACGCCCAGCTGGCGACGAACAACGAAAAGGCAAAGTCGGTTCAGTTTGCCTTTTACACTAGTATGTTCAAGTCGACGCTTCTGTGCGCTGCGGTCGCGCTGGCGGCGGCCGGCGGCCTTCCGCCCGTGTGCCCGCCCTCGTTCAACTACAACATCGACTACTACGGCAACGACTTGCGCTGGACGACGCGCTCCAACCCGAGCGACTGCTGCATGGACTGCATCGAGACGATCAACTGCTGGATCTTCACGTGGTACAACGGCCACTGCTACCTCAAGGGCAAGATGAGCCAGCAGACGTATTGCAATGGCTGCGTCGTCGGCGTCATGGACGCGCCGCCGCTCCACGCCGTGAACCCGATCGCCAACACGACAGAGTCGGCCACCCAGGCACCACCCGCGACAACAAGTGTGCCCAAGGCGACTGCGGTCTTCAAGTACAGCAACCTCAAGGGCAGCGGCTCGTACAACATGGTGACCAAGCTCGAGGGATGCCAAAAGACGTCGGTGGCCACGTCCGGCCCCATCGCGCCGTTCCACGAAGACGTGAGCATGGTCTTCCGTGGGCCCATGGACATTTACAATATTGCCGTCTTCCAAAAGGGCACCAACGGCTGGGCAAAGACGTCCAAGTACGGCGGCGGCGCCGCGAGCAACCTTGTCTTTATGAACAATGCCAACCCTGACAAGTTCAACGGCAAGGCGCCGCAGGGCTACGCCTCGCCCGACGGCACGACGTTCTCCAAGTCGGCGCAGTCGTTTAGCGGTGCCCTCAAGGCTGCGTCCGACCCGAGCAACATCTATGGCGGCCCGGGCATTGCGACGGGCGCCGAAGTCAACATCATGCAGGAAGCCAAGTGCACGCCTGAGACGTGCAAGGGCTTCTACGACAGCACGTACGGTCTCCAAGGCTGGACAGGCAGCAAGATCTTTGCCACCAAAGTCAAGATGGGCGCGAGTGGTCTCCCCGCGATCTGGATGCTCCATGGCCAAGTGGTCCGCGCCAACCAGTATGGCTGCAACTGCCGCGGCCTCGCCGACCCCGGTGGTTGTGGCGAGCTCGACATTGCCGAAGTGCTCACGCCCGGCGCGTCGACACTGGCGACCCACTACTACTACTTGGACACGCACCCGTCGCCCGGACACGACACGTGGGCCAACGTCTTGCCCAATACAGAGGTGACGTACGTGACGATCCTCGACGAGGCGTCCGGCGTCATCAAGGTCCTGCAATTTCCCGGTGCCGACTTTAGCTTCTTCTCGGGTGACAGCTTGTCGTCGGAGAGCGTCGCGGCGCTTCTGTCTCAGTAAACAGAGTTGACAAGTTGTCTAATTTAACACACTTCATCACAATGCAGTGTATTACTTCCTAGTCTTCGTAGAGTCCCGCCCAAGTCGATGCGCATTCGTAGTCGTCCGACGGTTTGGTCTCCGCTCGTTGCGTCACGTCGACACCTTATGTAGACACCTATGCGGCGGTCGCATACTGTTCGTTGTCATTGGAAACGGCTTAAGACGCTTTACGAACGATAAACCAATGCATCATTACACGTGGTATGAATGGTAGATGCCGTCTAGTTGCTGAGGGCACTGGCTACTAGCGAGAGGCTCAGAAGCGCCATGGCCTCGCAAGCGACTGAACGATGGCCAGAGGAGGATGTCGACGGGGCTGTCGGCGACCCGCCGCCGACGGTGTTTCGCGCACTGGTCGCTGCCGGCGACGAGGGAGCCGTCGTCGGAAACGGTGTCACGCTCGGCAGCGTCAGTGCTGCAATGCTTGGCTTGAGCTGTCCGCTGCTGTTGTACAAGCCAAAGTGGGCTTCGACCGTGTCCGAGACGTTGATGCCCGCACTCTTCCACGTGTCGTCGAACGCCGCAAAGTAAAAGTACGGCAACTGGCGCTCCGTCGCGTACACATAAAAGTCGGCCAAATACGTCTAAGAGTACATAGTATCAACACTCGATCGGGAAAGGGTTAGGGTCCGTACCGCATGGTTGGCGGCGCTCGTCGGCGACGAACCCACGGTGGCCCCGTCCGAGGCCCATCCGGTCTCGCCAATGTAAATGTCGATGCCGTTGGCGACCGCACGCAAGGTCGTCAGCTTGGTGTCGAGATTGACCATGGCCGTGTTGATGTCGGCGAGCTCCCAGAACGGAAATGCGTTGGCCAAGACGATGTCGCCCTAGCTGTCTATGAGTTGCGAGGCAGCGAGATTGGCGTTGTACAGCTTGGATCACGGCGGGGTACTGCACGAGCTTATCGATGACGTCGGCGGTCGCGACTGGAATGTTGATCTTGTGGTCGCGCAGATACGCTTTGACGGTTTGGATGTTGGCAATCACCTAGTATCCGGATCGTACTTCAATTGGCAGATTTTCACAGTACTGTCTCGGGCGAGACATCGTCGCGGTAGAGTGTTTCGCTGCCGACGTGGATGCCAATGACAGTCGCGTCGTCGATCGCACCGGCTTGGACAAGCGTCTCCAGCGCGGCTTGCTCGACCGCAAAATGAAAGTTGCCGGCGTCGACCCACATGCCGAGCCAGACTTGGAGCCCCGCTTTCTTGGCCGCTTCGAGGACCATCGCTCCTTGGTTGCAGTCGGTGAGGCTGTAAATGCGCACGCGCGGGCTCAGCGCCTTGAGAAGCACCATGTCGGCATCCACCTGCGCTTGCGACTTGCACTTGCTTGGGTCCCAATCAGGTCCTTGCCGGCTGTTGTAGTTGAGGCCGTACAGCGGTGCGTTTAAGGCCGACGTCACCGCCGTGAGCACAAGCAGCAGCAAAAGCGTCGGTCGCAGCATCCCGTCGATGGCAAAGTGAGAAGCAAGAAATGCAATCAAAAAGATCTCGAGTAATTTTAGATGCCCAAGATGGCGGCCTACGCAGAAACGTACTATGCGATACCTTCTGATCTGCATTTAGGCAAGAAGCGCCGCCGCAAGGACAGTCGTGGCCAGTGCGATCGACGCAGTCGCCGCCGACGACGGCGCGGGCTTGGCGCCGGGGCTCACCGGCATCGGCGTCTTGGTCAATGGAAGCACCGTTATGGTCGTGTTGTCCGGATCAATCGAGCTGTTGGTTTGCACCAAGGCGGCGATCTTGGGCTTGAGCGACCCGGTCGCGTCGTAGAGGCCAAAGAAGGCCTCGACGTCGTTCTTCATGTTGGGCAGCACTGCCTTCCACGCGTCGTCAAAGGCGGCAAAGTAATAGTACTTGAGCTTGTGCTCCGTCGCGTAGTTGTAAAAGTTAAGCAAGTACGTCTAGAAAGGAGAGAGAGCTATAGAAGAGCCAAATCAGGCAGATTACCGCTTGGTTGTCCGGGCTCGCAGTCGACGCGTTGGCGTTGACGCCGCCCGAGGCCCAGCCCGTCTCGCTGATCTGAATCTCCTTGCCTTTCGCAACCTTCTTGAGCATGTCCATCTTGATCTTGAAGTTGATCATGGCCGTGTCAATGTTGGCGGGTTCCCAGAACGGGAACGAGTTGGCTTGGATCACGTCAACCTACCGGCGCGTGTCAGCGAATGCCGGACCAGCCGCATGAGCCTACCGCGTCGAGCACGGCCGGGTACTGCACAAGCGCATCGACAATGTCGGCGACCGAGACCGGGATCTTGATCTGCTGCTGGGTCAAGAACGTCTTGACCGTCGTCACAAACGAAATCGCCTAGACTGCGTCAAGCACGTTTCGTGGCAAAGAGAGGTGGCACCTGCTCGGGCGTGATGTCCTTGCGGTAGAGGTTCTCGCTGCCGACGTGGATGCCTTCGACGGAGGCGTCGATGCTGGACACCATCGTCTTGAGCACCTTCATCTCGGTTTCGAACGTCGCTTCGTTGGTCACCCACATGCCGAGCCACGTCTTGAGCCCGAGCTTCTTGGCCGCGGCCAGCACCATTGGGCCTTGGTTGCAGTCGGCGAGGCTGTAGATGCGCACGCGGTCCGAGATGCGCTTGATCTTGCTCAGGTCCGTCTCGATCTGGTCCTGGGACTTGCACTTCTTCGGGTCCCAGTCGGCGCCCTGGCGGCTGTTGTAGTTGAGGCCGTAGAGGCGGAAGTCGAGCGCCGACGCCATCGCCGTTAGCACGAGCAGCACGAGCGCAGTCAGGCGGAGCATCGCGACGATATGGAAATGACCGGCCGGGCGCCAGTTCAAAATCGAGCCAATCCGCTTCTTGAAAACCGGCTGTAACGTCACCTCGCAACAGGATTTCAGCCAATCAGCGTGACCGGCATGACGCCTGTCTGCCAGCACGTGGCATCGCCGCTGTCTGCCGTGGCTAGGCGACGACAGAGGCCGAACAAGCCTCGTAACCTGGTCGGGCCCACGCCGGCAGAGACGTCTCGTATGCTTGAGCCGAGGCTGCTGACGCTGCGATGGTAAGCACGCCATGCGTGCGTGCGGCAAAGCCCACCCATTGACATAAACTGGCTAGATTGGTGTAGCTACACATGCGCCCGGTTCAATACCGCCGCAGCTGCACTTGGCAACGTCTGCGATGGTCGACCAGGTGCCACGACGTCGACACTTGCCTGCCTTGTGTGCGTCCGGTGTGAACCAGAGAACCAGGTCGAACCCTCGTACATGTGGCAGGTGGTACGCAAGAGGAGATACGTAGCTCCTTTCTCGTAGCAGCAGTCGTTGGGAGCTGAAAGTCAAGCATGATCAGGTCTTTGATCGCCTACGCCCAGCGACGATAACGTTGGGGACGGACACCGCGTCGGACGGCGGCTCGCTTGTCCGCAACTTGTGGGACATTGCTGTTGGAGATTGGGACAAACGCGCGAGAGAGGGTATCCGGATAGGTCACGTCGTATCCGGCGCTGGCCGGTGCCATTGCGAGACGCCAAGTGGCCGGCAAAGGATGCAAACGTGGAAGCTTCTGCTGGCGCTGGCGGTCGCGGCCGAGATCGCGGGCGCCGAGAAGGGCGCGGTCGCCAAGTCCAAGTCGGCGCAGGATCAGGTCAGCGAAGTGGCGTTGGCGGTCGACGGCGACGTGCGGGCCAAGGCGGTGACGGACGCCGACGACGAGGCCATGCTGCTCACCGCGTTTCGCGCAAAGAAGAAGGCGTCGCACGACGGCGCGAGCACGTCGCTGCGCTGCCGCATGTGTGGCGCGCATCTCGCCTGGAAGACGTACGGTCTCGACACGCGAGAATGCACTGACATCGTTCTAGCGACGCGATGGCGCTGCCGGCCGCCACGAAAGGCCGGGCCAAGAGCTACCGGCACGAAGCGGGCTTGGGCGACGCAGGCGAAGTCACCTACTTTGACGGGCCACTCGGCGATGAATTTGAGCTCGCGGCTTTTGAGCTCACCGAGGCCAGCGCGACCGAGAGCTACTCGGAGGAAAACTCGTTCTTTGACGACTACAACTGGCGTGTCTTGACGTGCCCCCGCTGCGCGCGCCACGTGGGGTACGACGGCAACGATGTATACCTTTCTCGCAGCGTCGAGTCTCACGACGACGGTTCTAGCTGGAAATTTACCCACGACCTCCAAGAGCAGTGCATGAAGATGGCCAAGCAGCACTTGGCGCCAGCGCCATCGGTAGCCGCGATCGCCGAGCTCAAGGCGACTGTCAACGCGGCGTTTGCGAAGCAAAAGTGCCACGTCATGGCCAACGGCTGGTGGAGCTACCAAGTGTGCTACGAGAGCGAAGTCCGCCAGTTCCACGAGGTAGTACAGGATTCGACACACAAACTCACCACCACGGACGGTGCAGGAGGCCGACGGAAGTCGCCCGTTCGACTGGAGCATGGGCCGCTTCACCGAAGACCGCAGCACCGAGAAGGAAGTCGTGCACTACTACACCGGCGGCCAGGTACGACTAAATGGATTCCACAACCATGTTCCACCTTGGCTTGTGTCGTAGACCTGTGATGAGAACGGCCAGGCGCGGGCGACGACCGTCAAGTACGTGTGCTGCGCCGAGCAACCGGTAGAACCACAACCAACCTCCGTCTCCATCCCCATCCCTATTTCTTGCAAATAGGAGATTGCAGTCGACACGATCGATGAGCCAAGTCTGTGCCAATACAACATCCGCGTCTGCGTCCCGTCGCTCTGTGCGGCATCGTCAACGCCCGAAGTGGTAGCAAAGAAGACGGCCGAGCAGCGCGAGCTCGAAGCCACGTGCTCGCGCATCGTTGGCGAGGCGGCGCCCAACGTGCTATCGCATTTTTACACGCTTCTGTGGCCCGACACGCTCGCCGACGACAGCCGCGACCTCGCGTGGGCCCACGGTCTCAGCGCCGTCACGTCCATCATGTCAATACGTCCGTCATCTCCATCGTGTTCCTTTGTGTACGACGCTTCTTTGTTGGTATCACGGTTGCTATCTATCGGCTACTCAAGAGATAAGAAATCACGACGTCAGATCAAGAAGCGGGCGTCAACGAGCGTTCGCTTGGCGACGTTCTGCGTGCCCCAGTGCTGGCGCAACCGCACCAGTGCCAACTCGGCGACATAGGTCCAGAGCGCCGAGACGGCGTGGTTGCCCCACCACAAGTCGCACGTGGCAAAGACCTACAAGGTAGCACACCATGTCGCGACAAGGAAGAGACAAGTTGTCTCTACGAGAATGTTCCAGAGCATGAGTTCCGTCTCGAGGCCGAGAAAGATCGTCGCGGTAAAACTGGACGCACTGGCATCTACACCACAGATATCCAGACGCGACCAACTACGCGGTTAGGGTTGCAGTACCAGGTACCAAGAGCGACGCCTTGGCCGCGCTGAGGTCGGGCGGGAGGCGAAAGTAGCGCGCCATGCACGGCTGCCCCGACACCATCTTCCACCGGTAGCTTTCGTCCATGTTGTCGACAAACGTCCGCAAAACTTATTGAGCTTGTGCCCGGCGCGGACGAGGTGCGGCGACGGCGCCGCTTTGCGCGGGGGCGCCAGCAGCGTGTTCGTACGTCGGCGCTCGAGGACGTCGTGCAAGAGCGTTGGCTGCGTGTGTGCTTTGGCCTCTTCGGCGCCGTAAAGCTTCATGAAGCGCTTCCGCCAAGCTTTCGTCAAGAAGAGCTCGAAACACTGGCAGTCGTCGGGGCCGCCGTCGAGGCCGCGCGACGCCGTGAGACCCGCTGCTTCTTGCTTGAGCTGCTCGGTCAAGTCGAGCATCGAGCCGTCGGCAAATGCGTACGGCGACCGGCAATGGAGGTAGTACCCGTGGTACGCTTCGTCCAAAAGCACGCAGCTCACTTTGGCCAACGTGCAGAGGTCGAGGAAGAGCAGGTGCCGCGGCTCCGCGATCCATCGCTCCTATCATTTCGCATTGCAACCCTAATCATCGAGAAAGAGACAGTACATAAATGAGCCAGCGCCAGAGCCACTGCGACGCGGTGAGAACGACCCACCACGCGACAACGTTGGCGAAGCGAAGGTATTCGTTCGGAGCGCCAAAGCTCATGCCGTAGACGAGCGGCTGCGGGGATGCCAAGTTGGCGTACTCGCACCTAAATTGATATCGTCGGCGCGTCCCGTCTGCTTTCAACTCGCACCCGAGAAGCAGCCACAAGAGACCGAGTAGCGTTAGAGGCAACGACGAGCCGCGCGCCTAGTCGTGACATGGGCCAGCCACTCGTCGGCGGCGACATTGATTCGTACGGTCTGGAGCTCGTTCCACTCGTTGGCGACAAGGATCGTTCGCCAAATGCTCACAGGCGATGGGTTCTCGGGCGTTCCGCGGGGCTCTTCCCAGTCCAGAAAGAACATTTCGATGCTCGCTTGGTCGTAGACCGTACAGAGCAGCGCAAAGGTCTACCGAAAAGAGATCGAGTCCATAATCAACCATTCATTTCAGCCCATACCTTGGCACTTGCAGCGCCGACGAGGACGATCTGGAACGGCGCGTACTCGTTGTACATGCCATACGACGGGTTGTGTTCCGGCAGCAGCGTATAGACGGCCGACTGGAGCTTGAAAAAGATCAGGTAGTAGCCCGTGAGGACGCTCAAAATGCTGCATCGTGGCACTAAGTTCCGCGCACGGACGACGACGACGTACCCGACCATCCACGTCGAGAGCGTCGACGCCGAACTGCGGCCTAGAATATCGCAGTCGGTGCCACTCAACTTAGCGCGAAATGTACTTAAAAACAGGACGGTGGTGAACGTGGACGCGCTGAGGTCGTTGCCCCGCGTGTGCCGCCGCTGCCACGTGTAGTACTGCAAGAGCACGCTGCAGCCTGAGACGACACACGCGAGCACAAAGAGCGCGAGCGCGACCGACCAAAACGCCTTGGTGCTCGAGGAGTATTGGACTTGAAAGATACTTGATACAATTGCGTGCGGCGACTAGGTGCCATTGCCGCAGGTTCAACTCTGTCGTTCTACCTCGATCGCGGTGTACTCGATGGTCAAGACGGGCGGGTAGAGCGCGCTGACGCTGGACGCTTGGGTTGGAATCTGTCCAAAAGTATCAAGTAGGGTGAGCGGCAACGACGATTAGGTGCACCGAGAGGTGTAAGCGTGACGCGTACGAGATGACGCGCGGTGTCGTGTAGCCGGACGCGACGCCGGACGCAGCGTCCAATATGTAAAAGCTAGTCATATCCATGGACATGTCGACCACCACAGGAATGGCATGTGTACCGATGTGTAAGCTGGTCGCCTTCGACGTCGGTCGGCGCGCGGTTGGAATTGACGGCCACGTTCCGCCCGTCGCGATAGTTGAGCACGCGAATCGGCACGGGCAGCAATGTATTGTCATTGTCCACAAGATACAACTCGTACAGAAGCACGCTCGGCGGTGACGCGAACGCAGTCGTCAAGTCGCAGCTGTACGCAAACGTCTTGCTCAGGCCAAAGCGCAGCCAGTCGAGGCCGTAGCCGAAGTTGCCGCGGGCCGTCGGGTCGCACAGCAGCAACTGCGTCGAGAGTGGGCGCAGACCCAAGTACGTTCCGTTGAGCGTATACGACGCCAGCATGAACTGCAGCGTGTCATTGGTCGCCGGGTTGGCCGCGGCCGAAAACGACATCTGCGGGCCACAACGATAGGATACGGTCGATGCGGGGCATCGTACCGTGAGCTGCAGAGAGGTCTGGGTGAGAATCGAGGTCGCGCCGCCATTGTAGAGGAGGAAGGGCAGCGTCGCACTCCAGCCGCTGATGCCGTTCGAGGTCGTGAGGCGGCTCGACGACGCGAGCTGGCGCAGCAAACTGCACGCTGCGCTCGACGTCGCAAACATCTGGAGGACGCAGAGATTGCCGAGGGTCTGGCACGCGCCATTGTTGTCTTCGTTGCTGTAGTAGTAGCATCCGATGGCCGCCGACGTAAAATAGTGCTCGAGGATCGCTACGACGACGGCGTTAAAGGCGCAGGAAGACGACTGTTCAACGATCGCACCGCTTGTAAACGTTCGTGGCGTCGACGCGTCTGGAAACGACACCAACGTCGCCGACTGGAGAGGGTACATGGCCGTGATCGCCGACACGTTGCCTTGGTCGACGCACGTCAGCGGGCCAAGCGCGGCGATGCCCGTGTTGACAAAGCCAGGGCGACAGGCGCAGCCTTGGCTCGTTGCAAGCATGTCGACGGGACACGGCGTGCACACGTAGCCCGAGGCGTCGACGCTGCCATTCGTGCACGGCAGACACGTCTTGGCCGCGAGTGGCGTCGCATTCTACGAACGCGCTACTAAGGATAAGACGGAACGCAGAACAAAACACACAGCGTGGCGGTCGACGAGGACCATGCCGGGCCGGCAGTGGCAGTCGTTGTTGCGGATACCGAGCGTCGTATTGTCGCACGGGAGACACATTGAGCCGTCGCGACTGGGCACCGTCGTCGCCATGCAGTTGACGCACGCCCGGGCGTCGCACGGCTTGGGCCACACGTTCCAGCACAGCTGCGACGGACTCGCAGACAGGATCGCGCCGGCGCTAGTGGCCACTGTTTCTGCAGCCGCTGCGTTCTTCGTGCAAAGTGGTCTACCTGCATGTACAAGCGGTCGAGTTGTCGCGGCCGACCATCTACACGCGCTTGGGTGAGGCCACTGCGGGCGCGTCCATGGAAATGGTACCCCTGTTGGGCACGTCGCGCAGCTGAGACTCGGTGTGTCAAAGTACTGCGTCGGCTTGCACGTGGTTGTCGCGAGACCATGCACGAGGCCGAGTCCGAGCAGCCCGACCCAGCATGGACTCATGGCACGCATGATGATCCGGATATCGACGATCTTGAAGGGTCGCGAGAAAGGCGGTAGAGGATGGAGCAGCACGGCGCCAACAGCGCGCGGATCGTGGCCTCGCGCATCCACAGCCACTTTGAGCGCACGCGCCATCGTGTGCCGTCGGTCGACACACCGAGCTTGGACCGACTCGAAGTGCTCGTCGTGCTTGAAGTGCGCGAACTTGTGAAGCACGTGGTCGCACTCCACGCGACGCTTGCGGCGGTGCCTCTCTATGAAGCAAAGCTCCGAGCCGAGTGGAAAGAACGTGCCGCACAGTACGAATCCGAGATTCGCGCGTATAGAGCTCAAGTCGAGGCGGCCCTCACCGCCGCCGCCGACCTCCGCCGCCATATCAATCGCAGCACGCAGGCAATGGCGACGGAGACGATAGAGTTGCGCCGTCGGTGGGAATCCGAGTGGGCTGCCCACCACGCGAGTGAGATGCAGCGCGTCCTTGACGAGGCGGCGGCGCGCGAACGCGACAGTCTCTTGCGCTCTCGCGACACCACGCAAGCGGCGCTCGCCGACTTACGACGTCGCTTGGAGCATCAAAAGAACGCGGCGCTCGAGTTGCAAGCGGCCGAGCTACGGCGACACCACAGGGCCCAGCTGGACCGTTTGTCCACAACTCTTATCGATATATCAATATAAACCACTGTAAATTGCACAAAATTCAAAACAAATACTCGTCGACTACGCCGTGAGGCTTGCGAGAATGGCCTCGCGGGCCATTTTCGGCCGCGGGATCTGGGGCGGGTCCGAGACGCCAATGTAGTTGCACCAGATGAGCGAGTCTTGGCCGTTAATGTTGGGGTTGTAGCACGTGGACCAGCCGCAGCCGATGGCCGACACGCCCTTGTTCATTGAATTCTGGAAATGCCCGCATGTCATCCAGTCGCCGTTCGCGCATGCATCGCGCTCGTAGCTCCAGAGCTGCTGCTCGCTGTCGTACCAGTTCCAGCTCGCGCCGACTTGGTGGTGGCAGTTGGTCTTGCACTCTTCGTACGACGCGAGGTTCTGCGCACCGGGCGGCCCGCCGTGACCGCCGCCGTTCTTTTGCGGACACGAGTCGGCCCACGCTTGCATGTCGGCGGCGAGTTTCTCGTCCCAGACTACCGGTGTCGTGTAGCCATGCGCCTTGCGGATCAAGTTCAGCTGGCGCACAATCTGGCCCTTGATGGTTTCCCCAGACGGCGCCGGTGACGACGACGGCGCCGGTGTCGGCGTGACGCCACCCACCGACGCGGCGCGCGCCCCGACACGTACACCTTGTTGCCTTTGGCGTTCTTGAGGTAGCACAACCCTGCGTACCACACGGAGACGACGCAGTCGGATCGCGCGCGGCAGTCGTCGCAACATTCACCGGCGGTGCCACGGCTCAGGCGCGCAATGTCGTTGCCGGGGTAGTCGGTGTTTTCTTCAATGGGGCGGCACAGGTTGCTCGATGATTGGATCGACGCGGACCGGGCGCCGTTGCAGAGCCCGCGCGAGCCTTTGGCGCTCTTGAGCCAGCACTTGGTGTCGCCGTTGCCGTAGTCGCGCCACGTGTACACGACGCAGTTGGGTGTCGCCGCGCAGTCGGCGCAGCAGGCGTCGGCGTTCGGTTGCGTGGTGAATTTAATGTCGTTGCCGTAGTAATCGATGTTTTCTTCGATCGGCGCACACACCTGCGACGGCGCCGACGACGACCGCGACGCCGACCGGACGCCCGTCGAGGTGTACCGGTTGGCTTTGGTGTGCTTGAGGTAGCACGTGCCGTCCCGCCACGTGTACACGACGCAGTTGGGCGTGGCCGCGCAGTCGGCGCAGCACCCGCTAGCGGACGCCTGCTTGGTCTGCTTGATGTCGTTGCCGTAGTAGTCGACGTCGTTTTCGATCGCGCCACACGTCGATGTCGGGTTGGGCGAAATGGACATGGCGCCGTCCGAGCTGTACCGGTTGGCCTTGGTGTGCTTCAGGTAGCATGTGCCCGCGCGCCACGTCGCGACCACGCAGTTGGCCGTGGCCGCGCAGTCGGCGCAGCATCGATCTGCGGCCGACTGCTGCGTTTGCTTGATGTCATTGCCCCAATAGTCAATGTTGGCCTCGATCGGGCCACAGGATGCGGACGCAACACCGCTGACCACGGCGGCGACGACGCAGACGATGAGCCGACTGAGTTGCATGGTTGGCGACGAATGCAAAATGGCATAGAGCAAGAGCTGCAGCCACCATACATCATACCGCGTTGGTTTCGGATTTGCCCTTGTCGAACAGGAATTCGCTGCGTGACTCCAGCTGGTTCTTTGACTTCGGCAACGTATGCCGGCATGGAACCTGGCGTCACCGTACCGATCCTGCTTGGTGCGCACGCCGGCTTTCTCGCTTGCAGGTGGTCGTGGTGCATCGAAGTTGGCCCACAGTGTGCAGACGCCCCCACTTTGCCGTACACCAATATACTACGTTCTAGTCTACCGGTAATACTTCAATTGGGCTAAATGCAAGCGGCCAAGTATAATTACTTGTACGGCGAGCTGTAATGCTACAGCGCCGTCGCAGCGAACGTTGCGTTCTGTGCCTCGTGGCGCTGCCAAACAGTCTGGTATCTCCGATCAATGCAACCAATGCTATTAGCGTCTTGTCCACGCGCCACCAAGATACCGTCGTCGTGGAAATGCGACAGCCCTGCATGGCTCGCAGTCGACCGCGCGTGGGCGATTAATGCCATCAACCTCGTAGGTAGTTGTACCGCCTGCTTGTGTGAGGCAGAGATGTCCCGATGCTGCGGTCGGCGTCGCAGCCGTCCGAGGAGGCGACCGGATCTGTCGTTCGGCACATGCAGGAAGATCGCAAGTTGCGATCTTCCGGGATGGGCATTCCGTACTTCACGAGATATCTTGATTTCAGTATGTCTTTTTCCGATCATCCTCTGGGCGCACTTTAGCGAACGCTGGCCTCGACGAGCGGCGCGGACTAACCGAGGTGGTGATGGCAGGCCGGCCCGTCTTCCTCAAGCCGTCGATCTGGTCGACGCGCTACGGTGCGATGGCCAGCGCCATCGCATGCGCCTCATACAGCCATGTAGGTGCCAACTTCTTCACGGTCAACGTCGAGAGCTACGTCGTCAAGGACAACACGTTCGCCGCGTACGCGCTCGAGCTCAAGCGTGGCAGCACGTCGTGGGTCGTGCACCGCCGGTACAGCGAATTCGCGACCTTGTGGGGCCAGTACGACGACGACGACGACGCTGGATGCAGTGGCTCATCGCAATGCATCTATAGGCTCTACGGCCTCGGCGACCGGCTTCCGACCATGGTACGTCTGCCGGCACGATGGCTCTATCCATCATGGCCGCCGCCTTCTCCTTTAGCCGCCCAAGACGTACTGCTTTCGCGACTTGAGCCCAGACTACTTGAAGACGCGCCAGCGCCTCCTCGAAGAGTGCATCTGGCAGCTGCTCCAGATCCCGGGCGTGAGCGAGATTCCGGCAGTCGTCGAGTTTCTCGAGCTCAAGGCTTGAGAAGGATGCAACTTATAGTAGTCGTGTTGCGTGTCCTTCTTATACCTCGTCTATTTCTTACCCTTCTTCTTCTTCTTCTTTTTCTTCTTCTTGTCCTTGGCCGCGTCCGCCGCCACCGGGCTGGCCGCGTCCGCCGCCACCGGGCTGTCCTTCTCGTCCTCGTCCTTCGGAGCTTCTTCGTCCTTTGAAGCTTCTTCGTTTGCTGGGATGACCACCGACAGCTTCTCTTCCGTGGCGTCGGCGTCTTCGCACTCCATGACAACCTGCTCGACCTGCTCGACGATATCGCCGGCGTCGGCGTGCTGCAGCTCAACAAACCCGTCGCTCGTCACGCTCTGAGACAGGACGTCCTGCGTCGCCGCATCTTCGGCCGCGAGGGCGACAACATCGTCGACAAACGAAGCCGCGACTTCCTGGGCCGCTGCAATGTCCGTGAGGTCGATCGACGCCGTGCGAGGAATCACAATCGCCGACGACGAGTTCTTGCGCGACGCCACCTTGGGTGAGCCATGTTCGACCTTCTCTTCAAACGAAGCCTTGCGGGACGCCGCTTTGGGCGACACGACAACCGCAGCGTCGTCCTCCACGGCGACCAGCGACAACTTGCGAGAGACAGCCTTGGGCGACGTGACAGCGGGCACTTCGTCCTGGACCGAGTTCTTACGCGAGGCCACCTTGGGCGACGTGGCAGCGGGCACTTCTTCCTGGACCGAGTTCTTGCGCGAGGCCACCTTGGGCGACGTAGCAGCGGGAGCTTCTTCCTGGACCGAGTTCTTGCGGGAGGCCACCTTG